TCTTTCTCTCTCTCTCTCTCTTTCTTTCTCTCTCTCTCTCTCTTTCTTTCTTATCTATCCAAATGAAGATACTCATGGAAACTGGCTTTTCAAGGAAATCTGAACCAACATGGTATAGCTTAACCTCCTCCCCTCTTCCAGCTCTCTTATATATTGGCTCAGTCCTGTGAACCTTCTCCAAATATTCCAGCATTTTTCCAAGGAAAATAGTGCTTCTTTTTTTCCCTATCCACTCTAATTTTTTAAAAGTAGTCCTTGACTTAACGACCACAATTGTGAATGAAATTTCTATTTCTAAGTCATTGCGGTCATAAATTGAGTTGGCAAATGACCAGATCCGATTTTACAACCACGGCTGAGGGCATCCAATCCCTAAGATTTTGGAAAACAGCAGATTGGAAAAGAGACTCCATTGGATGCTCCCAAGATGGATGGATTTCCTCAATTTCAGTGTTCATTTGGCATGCAATTCCCTAAATTCTAGAGAACATCATGTTGGAGAAGACCATTCATGATACACCGCGAGGTGGACTTTTTCAACCTTCGTGCACAAAACAGATGGGCTTCTCCAGTGTGACGAGGTCTTCAGAACACCAAGTTGAGGAACACCATACTTACAACCTGTTGTCCGCTAGCTCCTCCAGCAGCCGAATTAGAAAAGGAGGAGGCGTGGGAGTCAGGAGTCAGCATCAAGGCAACGTGAGAGCTCCCATGGGGGAAGAGGGAATGGAGCTGTCAGAGAGAGGCAGAGGTGGAGCCTGGGCCGTCCGTCAGCCCTCAGATGGAGAGTCAACAGCCCTCAGATCTGGAGGTGGCTGAGGAGGAAAGAGGAGGAACAGCCGGGTCCAGTGCCTGACGCACGGATGCGCAGAAGGCAGAGGAGAGGAGAGCAGTGGAAATCTATGGGCTGGTCCTTGGGACGGAAGCTCCACCATTGCTAGCGAAGACCCACCCTAGCTCTGGGGATAAAAGGCAGGGGGAGGAGATGAATAGATGTGGTAAACAACTATTCATCTCCCTGCCAGTTGGATTTGTTAGCCTGCGGTGAGAGATAAACTTTTTGCCAGGGCTGTCGGCATTCTCAATAAAGGAATCTGAGTTTACTTTAGAGGGTTTGTTATGTTTGGGGAGCTGGGTCAGAACCTCTGGGCTCGAAAGTTTTCAGAATTATTTGCCAGGGTTCCTGGGTTTCAGATGCTTCACCCACCATCTCGTTTCTCCTTCAGTGGAAGCGTTCGAGGAAGTCTCTGACAGCCTCTGTGTCCCACAGTACAACAAGCACGGTGAGGAAAGAGTGGTCCTCTTCTTGAAGATGGGCACCAACCACGAGTTCAGTCCCGATTTGGTGAAGCGCATCAGGGAAGCGATTCGGGCGGCCCTTTCGGCTCGTCACGTGCCCAGTCTTATTCTGGAAACGGGAGGGATTCCGGTATGTTCTTAACTTTTTCTGTTCTCCCCTCGGAAGGAAGGAAGGAAGGAAGGGGGAAAAAAAGAAAGGATGGATGGATGGAAGGAATAGGAAAAACGAAAGAATGGATGGAAGGAAGGAATAGAGGAAGGAAGGAAGGAATAGGCAAAAAGGATGGCTGGAAGGAAGGAAGGAATAGGAAAAAAGAAAGGATGGAAGGAAGGAGAGGAAGGAAGGGA